TACTAAAATACCACAAAAAGTTTACAAAAAAAATTTATTAGCTATTTAAAAACCCCTTTATTTATAGGTTTTATTTCTTCGTCGGGAATTGCTGTGCAAATATGAACAGTTTAATTGAAAATGACCAATCATTGCTTAGTCTTGCAGCTGAAAATGGATATTATGAAATTGTTAAATATCTAGTTGAACAAGGTGCAGATGTAAATCATAAAAATAAATATAAAAGCACGGCACTTACGTTTGCTGCGATAGGTGGAAACTGTATTCTTGTTGAATATCTAATTGAAAATGGTGCAGATATAAATCATAAAAATAAAGATGGAAATACATCACTTATTCTAGTTTCTAAATATGGCAATTATGATATTGTTAAATATCTAATTGAAAATGGTGCAGATATAAATCATAAAAATAAAGATGGAAATACATCACTTATTCTAGCTTTTCAATGTGAAAATTATGATATTGTTAAATATCTAATTGAACAAGGTGCAGATGTAAATCATAAAAATAAAGATGGAAATACATCACTTATTCTAGCTTCTAAATATGGCAATTATGATATTGTTAAATATCTAGTTGAACAAGGTGAAGATGTAAATCAGCAAAATAAATATGAAAATACACTACTTATTCAAGCTTCTAGATATGGAAATTATGATATTGTTGAATATCTAATTGAAAATGGTGCAGATATAAATCATAAAAATAAAGATGGAAATACATCACTTATTCTAGTTTCTAAATATGGAAATTATGATATTGTTAAATATCTAATTGAACAAGGTGCAGATGTAAATCATAAAAATAAATATGGAAATACACCACTTATTCTAGCTTCTAGATGTGGAAATTATGATATTGTTAAATATCTAATTGAACAAGGTGCAGATGTAAATCATAAAAATAAAGGTGGAAATACATCACTTATTCTAGCTTCTAAATATGGCAATTATGATATTGTTAAATATCTAGTTGAACAAGGTACAGATGTAAATCATCAAAATAAATATAAAAGCACGGCACTTACGCTTGCTTGTAAATATGGATATTATGATATTGTTAAATATCTAATTGAACAAGATGCAGATGTAAATCGGCAAAATAAATATGGAAATACACCACTTATTCTAGCTTCTAGATGTGGGAATTATGATATTGTTAAATATCTAATTGAACAAGGTACAGATGTAAATCATAAAAATAAATGTAAAAGCACGGCACTTACGTTTGCTGCGATAGGTGGAAACTGTATTCTTGTTGAATATTTAATTGAAAATGGTGCAGAATAAATCATAAAAAGAAAGATGGAAATACACTACTTATTCAAGCTTCTAGATATGGAAATTATGATATTGTTAAATATCTAATTGAACAAGGTGCAGATGTAAATCATAAAAATAAATATAAAAGAACGGCACTTACGCTTGCTTGTAAATATGGAAATTATGATATTGTTAAATATCTAATTGAACAAGGTGCAGATGTAAATCATAAAAATAAATGTAAAAGCACGGCACTTACGCTTGCTTGTAAATATGGAAATTATGATATTGTTAAATATCTAATTGAACAAGGTGCAGATGTAAATCATAAAAATAAATATAAAAGAACAGGCAACTTCTCAATAAGTTGGGGTGAAAATAAAAAATCAAACAAATACAATATGTTTCAAAACTCTAAAAAAATTATAAAACATCTTAAAATATAGGATAATTATGATATTTAATTAAATTCATATTATATGTAATCAAAAATATTACCCCGACTTATTGAGAAGTTACTATTTTTTTACAATACTTCGGACAGTTTCATGAAGCAATAAACCCGTAATCTCTTTTTTTTTAGCTCGGTAGTGTTCACGAATCTGTGTCATATGTTAAACTATAACTCTTTATGAGGTAAAACATATGACAAATAAATTTGACTTTAATCAAGCACTCGAAAAACTACAATC